TGGAATCCCCATCAATATCCCAGCACAATTCTTCACACAAACCTTGAAAGAACAATACTCTACTTTATATGGAAAAACAAAAAGCCCAGAATAGCCAAAATTATCTTCTACAATAAATGAACTTCTGGAGGCATCACCATCCCTGACTTTAAACTCTACTATAGAGCTACAGTATTGAAAACAGCTTGGTATTGGCACAAAAACAGATAGGTGGAGCAATGGAATCAAATTGAAGACCCTGAGAAGCTAAAATTATACAATAGAAAAAAAGAAAGCACTGGTGCAGGAGAATTGTCTGTATTCTGTCAATCATGTTATAAATAAACACTAATTGGCCAGGCAGGAAATATAGGCAGGAAAACCAGACAGGAAGTAGAAATGATGTAATGAGAACAGGAGAATTCTCGGAAGGAGGAAGTTTATTCCCCCTTCTCCTGCCTAGACCACTGAAGCAGCAGGATGTGATCTGCCCCACTGAAAAAGGTACTGAGCCACATGGCTAACAGATCAGAAAAATGGGTTAATCAAGATGTGAGAGTTAGCCAGTGAGAGGCTAGAGTTAATGGGCTAATCAGCTTATAATTTATGGAGACCTATTTTCTTTGGGGCTAAACAGTTGTGGGGTACCGGGTGGGACAGAAAAACCACAACAAGCTGGCCCCCCTCATGTTACAAAGCACATTCAACAAATGGTGCTGGCATAACTGGATGTCAACATGCAAAAGAATGTAAATATATTGATATCATTCCTCATGCACAAAACTCAAGTCCAAATGGATCAAAGACCTCAACATAAATCCAGCAACACTGAACCTCATAGAAGAGAAAGTGGGAAGCAGCCTTAAATGCATTGGCACAGAAGACCACTTCCTGAATACCAGCAGCACAGACAGTGAAATCAACAATTAATAAATGGGGTCCTCCTAAAACTGAAAAACTTCTGTAAAGCAAAAGACACCGTCCACAAGATAAAATGGCAGCCTACAGAATGGTAAAGAATCTTCAACAACCACATATTCAGAATTAACTTTGTTATTTATTCAATTACAAGAAATAATCAGAAGTAGAAATCATCCCTTGGTATATATCACACATCAAATCCCATACAGGTCTACCAGACCCTCTAACACAAGGCAATGATGAAATTGTTCAGCTGTTGGTAGGCAATGTGGTAGAAGCCTCAGAATTTCAAAAGAAAAATCATGTTAATAGCAAGAGTTTGAAAAACAGATTTTTTTTTCCATCACTTGGCAACAATCCAAGAAAATTATAAGGACATGCCCAACTTGTTCTTTGTATAACCAACTCCACTACTTTCAGGAAGTAACCCAAGAGGTACACAAAGAAATGAAATTTGGCAAATGGATGTGTTTTCAAAGTTTAAAAACATGCACACCACACTGTAGATACAAATTCATGATTTCAAGAGGCAACTGCTTTGAGTTCTGAAAAGGCTGATTCTATAATTATACATTTATTAGAAGTTATGGCCTCCATGGGGCTACCTGTACAAATTAAAACTAACAGTGGTCCAGGATATGTCTCTAATAAAATTAAACAGTTTTTTTGCATATTACAACATAAAGCATATTACAGGTATACCACACAATCCTAAATAGCATACACTTATAGAAATATCTAATCACACTCTAAAAGATACACTTAATAAACAAAAAGGATAATAAAGACACCCTGAGATAGACTACACAGGGCTTTATTAACTTTAAATTTTTAAGATGCTAATGATAAAGGAATGACAGCTGCAGAGAGACATTGAATAAGAGAAAAAAACAACTGAATTAAATCAGCCTGTGTATTTCAAAGATGTGTTGACCTCAGAATGGAAACCACGAAATGTGTTATGCTGGAGAAAGTTTTACTTGTGTTTCCACAGGAGAAGAAAAGCTATGGAGCCGGGCGGTGGTGGCACACGCCTTTAATCCCAGCACTCGGGAGGCAGAGGCAGGCGGATCTCTGTGAGTTCGAGACCAGCCTGGTCTACAAGAGCTAGTTCCAGGACAGGCTCCAAAACCACAGAGAAACCCTGTCTCGAAAAAAAAAAAAAAAAGAAAAGAAAGAAAGAAAAAGAAAAAAAAGAAAAGCTATGGATATCATCAAAATTGATAAAGATTAGATTTGAACAGGAGAGACCTCTTGAGAAGAGGTGATAGTTCATCAAACAGCATGACATTTCAATCTAAAATAACATATAAGACTAACAAATGTCTTTCATTTTATCAGGTATAACCTGCCAAAAAGGAAACTCCCCAAAGTTAGGGATAGGGCAGGGTTTTGTTTCTGTCTTTTCAGGAGAATGAAGGCATCAACTAAGGAGTTTGAAGACCATTGGACAAATGAGACATCTGAAGAAAAAAGACAAATCATCCAGAGAAAACATCCCAAGAAAAGGAATAAATTGGCCTGATGGTATACCACATTTCCAATAGAATAAAATTTCATAAATATTTCCAAACGTTTGTTTCTGCTATTCTCTATAGACATATGATGAAAATAATCTTTTTGTAGTCCCAACTCAATTAAAAATTAAAGTTGCCTTTGGGGTTGGAGCATGGTTCTCTCCTCTAATTCCAACCATGATTGTTAAAGGAAAATACAAAATCTCTGTCTCATATCAGAAGAGCCACCTGATATGGGATAGAAGAAAAACCAAAATAAAAAAAACTATTCTACTGCTACTAATCTCAATTCCTTGGTTTGATTTTGGCTCTATACAACTTTTCTTAAGATATAAATATTATTTCAAATTTTATAAAATTTATATATATATATAATTAAACTTTCTGTCATATATTAATGCTCATATAGAGTACTAACTAATTCTAGAAAAAGCCTTAATCTAGTTTCCTGTATATGATTTCGGTTTTGAGTCTTTATCAGGTAACTAGGAATTAAGATTTTATACTCTAGATATACTTTAAAAATTGTGGTCCTTTAATCTCTTCGAGATCCACTGCGTATGCCATTTAAAATGTTTAAGCTTTCTGCAGTGAACCATGACCATTACTAACAGTGATTTCTGAAGTCTCTAAAAGGAGGATGGAACCCTACAGTGACTATTCCACCTGGATTGTGGTAATACCATTATGCTGACAAACACCACTCAAAGATCGGCTTTGACCTACAAACTGTTCAGGACGATTTCAAGATGGTTGGCTGAGAAATTCCAGTCTCACAAACTTACTCTAGCCAGGACCTGGGATAAGCCCTGTACTTTCCCATTACACAGAAATTGGACAACAAATGATACAGCTACCTCTCCCAGCACTTGACAATTATCCCAATTTTCTCAGGGTCCTCTAAAGAGCCTGTTACCCCCAAACAGAAAATAATTTTAAGACTATGATTCCCACCGCTCCAAGAGGTGATGTGAGTGGTTTTGGGTCATTCAGTGCGTTATGGATATTTGCCACCATTTAGGGGGGCTGGTTACAAGTTGTTATTGATAATGAATGGTCAGAAAAAAAGCTGAACAAAGAAGATAAGATTCAGGGATTTTGTTCTGAAAAGAAATGGGGGGTATAGCAATGATAGGATAAAAGTGTAGATTACTGAATCTACTTTAAACCAAAAGAACAACTACTAGTCTTAAATAGTTCACATTGGTATTAAACTTCTGTATATTGATATAAATTTGAGGTTATTTTTCTTATACTGCATATATTTTCTACTCTTGTTTAAGATATTTTTATATATGATGCAAATTTAAGGTTATTTTGTTATAAAATAATGTACCTACATTTCTACTCTTGTTTAAGATATTGTACCTATGCAGCTCATTTAACAATATAATTTAAATTTCTAGTCATTACAAACTATTTAGGATAATAGAGAAATGCAGGTTAGTAGTCAGACACCTATTACAATCAAACTTGTAGTTATATTAGGTATGTTTTTAAGGTCAAACAGATATATTTTGATAGACAAGTGGCCTTCAAACACTTCAGAGATCTACAGAATATGGAATTTAAGATGTTTTGATATTATAAGGCTTTTTATGATAATGAGACATCTGCTCCTGGAAGTAATGAACTACTTCAGAGATGATAATGGGCATGGAAGAAACTCCATAAGGAGTTTGATTTCTTTCTGGCAAAAGTTAGTCACTGGACAAGAAACTGTCCTTGCCTCAACTGCTGGCAGTATGCTGTCCAAATTTAACAAGCAGGACACAAAATAAAATGACTGCTGAACTTTGCTAAGACAAGGTGGGAAGTCCTTCAAGATTCCTGCTTCACAGAAAATTCTGCCAGGAATTATAGGCCTGTAGAGCAAAGATGGATGTCCCCATGATACAGAGGAACCTTGGGTGACTGTCCAGACAAGCCAACTGTTTCTGTCATTTCTTAATTTTGGAAGTTGTTTGTTATGCACTTCCTGTTTACTCAGATAATATTATATCCTCCTCAGGTCTCTGATGGGGGTTGAAGACTAGATAGTTAATTTTTTACAGTTTTCCTTGTTACCAAATTCAGAAAAGAAATTCACAAAAAAAGATGTAAGGTATAAGGTTGAGAGATAGGTTGTTAATGCAGGTTAGGATAGAAAGTGAGTTAGGTGCAAAACTTTGGACTCACTAAGAGAGGATAGATAATGGAGTATTTTCTTTGAATTTCCCAAATACAAAGGGACTAGATATTGTTAATGTAATTCTTACCTATATATTTGTATATAATTATTGTACTTATTCTACATAGTTTTGTTATGTTAGTTAAATCTTCCCTTTTATTTAGACAAAAGGGGGAAATGTGTGATATTTTGATCTCATTCTGACAATAAAGTTTACATTAAGTCAGAGGGTGGAGGTAGTCACTAGCTAACTAAAATTAACCACAGAGGTCTTGGAGAGCTGAGGAAGTAGTAAGGCAGGGATGAGAGGGGATCTCAGCCCTTTCAGGTTGAGGAACAGAAGAGAGAGTAGGTCACTGGAGGCTTCTCTGTAGCTTCTCTGAACATTCAGGTTCTTACCCCGATATCTGACTCCCAATTTTTATTGATATAGAATAATTAGATAAACACTTCACAAGTCCACACTGAGAAATACAGTATCATCATGGAAACAAAGCGAGAGTCAAACACTGGCGACTGGGAAAAGGGATGGGCTCACTGTGCCATCCTAGGCCTCGTGGGGGAAAGAAGGGGTGGGCTCACTGTGCTGTTCAAGGCCTCGTGGTGGGAAGTCAAGTCTGACTGGCACGAGTCGGCCTTAGCTCACCTCCATGGGTTCCGAACCAAGGCGTCAAGGATGCAGCCTGGCTGCTGCATGCCGTCAGCAAAGACTACAGATGCTGCTGTTGCTGGTCCTCCGCCACCTTCTCATCTCTGTGCCAGGAGAAATCCTGGCACATGGGCACAGAGTGAGAGTGTGACAGGGAAGCCCAACAACAGCAGGACTAGCCTCAGCAGCCTTTCTGAGTAATCTCCAGCCCTGAGGACTTCGTGATCTCCAGCGTTGTAAACACCTGCAAGGAAGAGGACAACACACAGCAATGTCCCTGCTCTAAAAGGATATGCACCAGCGGCGCTGAGTGAACAAATTAAAACAGGTTGCTAATATAAGATATATTAGAATTTTAAAACTCTGACAATGTGTTTCATAATTGTTTGTAAAGCTAGCCTACTTGAAGCCCATTGAAAGCATCTCACTGGAATTTGGAGAGACTCTCGGTGGGTACAGGGTTAGAAAGATGCTTGGTTGATAAAGTTACCCATGCAAGTGTGAGGATCCAAGTTCAAGTCCCAATCCCCACATTGAGTGTGCTGGCATAAGCTTGTAAAATCTCCACACGATGGAGGCAGAAATAGTTGCATTCTGGGTCTTACCGGCCGGCCAGCCTAGTGCTGGCACATGCTTGTAAAATCTCTGTGCCTGGGCCGGGCAGCGGTGGTGCACGCCTTTAATCCCAGCACTCGGGAGGCAGAGGCAGGCGGATTTCTGTGAGTTCGAGACCAGCCTGGTCTACAAGAGCTAGTTCCAGGACAGGCTCCAAAACCACAGAGAAACCCTGTCTCAGAAAACAACAACAACAACAAAAAAATCTCTGTGCCATGGAGGCAGAGATAGGTATATCCCAGGTCTTGCTGGCCAGCCATCCTAGCCTATTGGCAAGCTTCAGGCTAGTGTGACACCCTGTCTCCAAAAGAGGTAAACAGTACCTAAGGTATGGTACTGTCCCACACATGCGCACATGTACGCTCACACACACACACACACACACACACATGCACGCATGCTCTCTCTCACACACATACACCTGTGCACACACACACAGACACTCATGAACACACACACACCCTCCTGTTCCTTACCTCACCACATGTGGGATGGATTCCAATGGTATTATTCAGTAGCTGCTTCGTAAGCCCACATTTCATTGCAGCTGCAAATCCCTGTGTTATTTCACCAGCATTTGGCCCCAGAAGGTGAAATCCCACCACACGCTCCTTTAACACAGGGCAGAACAGAGAATTCCCATAAGCCTAGGGTCAGAACGTAAATCCACTCCCTGCTGTTCACAGCTAAGACATACAGGGTCTCCCACAGGAAAGGAACTAGCAGAGAACAGCCCCTCAAAGGTCTTGTCCATGGAGGTGGTAAAGTATGGTTAGAACTAACTCACACACTAACTTACCATCACACCCAAGTTTGTGGGTAGGATGTGACTTCTGGATAACGCTGAGACGGGGCCACACAAACCCTGCACATATAAACTAAAGGCCTGCACTAGAGTACCCAAGGCATCAGATCGTACTAGAGGAGGGTTCGAGGGCCCAGTGACTAGCTGCCTGCTCCTGACACTAGGCAGAGCTTGGGAACGGCCAGTAGAGGCTGCCAGCACGGTGGTGGGTGTCCAGTCTACAGTGAGCCACAAGCTGTCCACTACAAGACTGGTCATCGTATTCTGGCCTCCATGAAGACAGATGAAGGGAGTGTGTAGGCAGATGACAGAGCCAGTCACAGGAGACATCTCAGCTCCATCAGCACCTGCCTGTTACCCTCTGTGAATGCCTCTCCTCGGCACTCCACACATACCATACCGCCACACAACTGTACACCATGCACAGCGCTGGATGGTGGCCACGGTGTTAACACTCACAGTTTTAAACCATCAGGGTTAAACTGTCGGCTCTGGGTGGCCAGCTTCTCACTGCCTGACAGACACAGTTGAGCCGGGAATCAGCTCCTGCCTCAGCCTCTGCAAACAGCTGAGAGAGCATTCCTGTCCCAGTTCCATCTTTAAAGATGTCATAAAAACCCAACTGCAAGAATCCAAGCTACATTTTAAAACCACAGTGGGTGAGGCCTGGGAAGCAACCTGGGGTAGAGAGTGTGAGGTTTGGGGAGCAGCCTGGCTAGAGTGTATATGGCTTGGGGAGCAGCCCAGGTAGAGGATGTGCTTCACTCAAATGAGGCCCAGGGAAAATGGAGTCGAACAGAGAAGAGCAGAAACCACAGCATCCAGGCATCTACATACATTGTCGAATTTGTTGCAGATTATCTTTGCATAACAGGTATTGTTGTCTCTGCCAGCGACTGTCCACTCCAGAGGCCAGAACAAGGTGTGGTACACCTGGACCAAAGGGAGAGGCTGACATTAGCATGCATGGAACCCACTCCTGGATATGCTCTTTAGTCCCCTAAGGTGGGGACAACAACATCCTGCAGCACCTGAAGCCCGAGACCCCACCTGGCCCGTTGATAGCCGCACTGGAGCCAGGCTCCCGAAACGCCAGCAACACGTCACTTTGGCTTTGTGCAGCCATTCGTCAGAAAGAGAAACTGCCTCCTGCTAGCAAAAGTCCATCTTCAAGCATTTAGAATGCTGTTGGCCCAAGGTACCACACCAGTTGCCATATGGGCTGAGAAGTGGACAATGAGACCCCATTGAGTGGTGTGTTTGCCCAAACTTAGAAGATCAGAAGACACAGAACCATTCTGCCTTCCAAGACAAAGCACAACACCTGGGCTACTGAGCCCAGCAGAGCACCCCCACCCTGCTCAGACAGCCAGGTCTCTAGCATCTCCTCTGAGTGACTGCACACAGGGTGAGGGCCTTTCCTACCTGTATCTCCACAGTTTTAATTCACACCCCTACTGTCTCTGCACACAGGGTCAGGGCCTTTCCTACCTGTATCTCCACAGTTTTAATTCACACCCCTACTGTCCTCTCACCAAAGCTCTGTCCTTTTGATCACACAAAAGTAAGGGAGACAGAGTTTAGATTCACTTCAAATTCTCCCAAATAGGAGGATGATTTCTCTAACATTGGCATGAAATGGACTTGCAAAGCTACAGCATAAAAAGTGGCTTCAAGGAAAGATGGTTGATCATAAAGGATTCTTACTTCCAGATTCTCTTTTTTATACACTTCGATGGCTTTCTCTTCAGACAGCCCACAGCAGCCATATTCCAGAGGTGTGAACACCGTGGTTGGGATGTTAACATAGTCACACTGGAAGAGAAACATGCAACACTCCTATGACTTGTTTCCCAGCAAGTTTCTACAGCATGGGTTCATAAAAGGCAGTGGGCTGTGTCAGATCAAAGCTGGTTACAAGAGCCAACCGATGGAAGACTGGAGGAGTTGAAATGTGCTGGTGAGTGTGTAAGTGAGTGTGCCCAAAATATACTTATTATTTCATTCTCTGTGTGGATAGTTTCTTGAAAGTATGGTTGTAAACCACATGTGTGTCAGATGCCTACAAAGGCCAGATGAGAGCATTGGATCCCCTGGAACTGGAGTTGCAAACAGTTGTGAGTTACCATGTGGGTGCTAGGAATTAAACCTGGGTACTCTTCAAGAGTTATATGTGCTCTTAACCACTGAGCCCACTCCCCATCCCTTGTCTATGCATGTTTTTATGTATATAAATATGTGGATAGGTGTGTACATGCATGCATACATGTATATGTATGTGTGCGTGCATGCCTGTGTGTGTGTGTGTGTGTGTGTGTGTGTGTGTGTGTGTGTGTGTGTGTAGAGGCCCAAGGTTGATGCCAGGAATCGTCTTCCATAACTCTTCCACCTTATCAAATGAAGCAGGGTCTCTTAGTCAAACCCAGAGCTGGCTATTACAGCTAGTCTTATTAGCCAGCTTGCTCTAGGGATCCCATCCCCACTTTCCAAGGCTGGAATTACAAGTGAGCCACCACACATAGGTTTTGAGGGGTCCCAACTGTGGTCCTTACACTTGGTGGCAAGTATTTAACCACTGTCCCATCTCCCCACTTTGCTGAAATTCTGTTGAGTTCTCAAGACAGCATCCGAACTGAAGCCAGAAGGGTCGATATGGTACTTGGTGACACAAGCACCAACAGCTAGAGACAAATTAGACTGATGTCTACCCCTTCAAAAAGACTCAGAGAACAGAAAAGCCTACTAGCTAGAGTTATTTCAAGGGGAGAATGGGCTGAGCAGCACAATTCAAGAGACCTGAGCACCTAGGTGAGAGGTTCATGCAGGAGCTACCTCAGTACATTTGCTGTCTGGTGTCTTTGTAAATGGAGCTGGGGGACATATGGCCTTCTACCTTCCCCATGGCATATCCCAAGTACACCGAGAGGACATGCAAACTCACGAAAGTAGAGTCACCACCCGTCACCTGCTAGCCCAGCCACGGTATCCAGTACTATTGACAGAGCAGAGCTTTCCAACCAAGGAAGAGACCCCATGAGGACACAAACCTCGAGTTAGTCATTATCTGATGATACACCTACTAGAAAAGCTCATTGCCTCCTCTGTGGAATTACCCAGATCCCAAATATCTCATTAAGGAATACCAAGACAAGAAACCACACTGTCGAGAGTAGCAGTTTTCATCTTGTAAAAGATGAAATTGAAATCACAAGTGAATGGGACTTACCAAGCAGGCAGTGTAAAAGGCTAGCCCCCTGCTCAGGAGGGGACACTCTCTGTTGTCAGCGGCAGCAGGCCACTTATGAAACCTGTTTCCAGTTCATCAGATAATTCAGGCATCTTTCCCTGCCCTAGGGCAACTGGCTCACAGCACCCTGACACATAACCACATCTGTGGGCTGTCGTCTGCGGGCTATCTGAGTCCACCCATCTGGGAAGTCCTGGAACTGGACCCACAGTAAACTTTCACTATCACAGAACAGCCCAAGGATGTAAAAAACACAAGTTTTATCAACTCTTTAATCGCTAGTAACTTAACTGCAAATTATCCCTAAGAACTCTTATTTAGAAAATGAGTCAATGAGTGTTATTTGTACTAATTGTGAAATCCTAATTTTGATCAAGATACTATCTCAGGGCTGTGGATGAAGCTCAGTGGTAAAACACTTACTTAGCATTCATGAGACCCAGACTTCAGCTTCAAACACACACACACACACACACACACACACACACACACACACAGATATACACACATACACATATAAATACACACACGCAGACATGCACAAAAATAGACACACATAAACACTCACCCTTACACAGAAGATATATACACATTCACACAAAGCAGGGAAGGAGGAGGAAGGATGGAGAGAGATACACACACAGAGAAACATGCATACACACATAATAAGCATACAAACACATATAGAGAGACACATACACACACATATACAAAGGCATAAGCACAGACACACGAAGAACAGACACATAAAGAGACACAGAGACATATACCCAGACACACATCGATACAAACACACAGGTCAATCGTAGAAAAAAGCTTACCTTTTCCAAAGAGGCCCCAAAGAGTCTTCTGGCTAGCAGCTTGCCTGCCTGTATGGCAACAGGCGTGAGCTCTGGTTTGCCCTCCAGTATGTCCCCAATAGCATATACATGAGGAACGTTGGTCTGTTCCACATCATTTACTGGTATTTTGCCACTCCTGGTAGAGTGAAGAGGAAAGCACACTGAATATCTGGACTTCTGACTGGTACCATGAAGATCAGCAACACGGAAGCTTCCACAGCCTGGGCACCGAGGTGTCCAGTGACCTAGAAGACATCAGCTCAGCCCGTGCTTCCTGCAGGTCTGAAGCTTTCACTTTCCCCACAACCTTCAGGGCTCCAGAAGTTCTCTTTGACTCATGAAAGACATCAAATTACACTCTAAATTACAGACAGTGGGAGAACATATTTCTATGAATATGTTTCTGGATTGCCACTGATTACATGAGTTCTTTAATGTGCTAGGAGTCCCTACTGGCTGATCCAGAAATTAATACCAGTTGGCATCATCAGTTGGTGAGAAATTTGAGGCATCAGAATGCTCTATCTTAGCAAGTTACAGAGTCTTATGGGGTTTTGTGCAGGAACAGAGCCACGACCCTACACTTACTTCTCATTGATTTTGACCCCGATCTTCTCCAGCCCTATTTTCCTTGTACAGGAGTCACGACCAATTGCTAACAAAACCTGCATTTAGAGAAGAGACCAGAGGCATAAATTATCCCCATGAGAATGACAAGGGATACACCACTAGAGATGCTGGAGGCATTAAAAGGATAATGATGAAATATTATAAGCAGCCTGTATCTGTGAATTTGATGGAATCCTTGAAAGACATGGCTTAGCAACAGCCTCTGTTTCTTCTCGGTGCCTGTGATAAAATAGCCCAGCAAAGACCTCTTAAAGGAGCCACAGTTCACAGTGGGGAAGTCAAGGCTTCAGGCTCACAGCAACTGGTCACAGCACATCCACAATCAGAAACAGTGAAGGATGCAGAGGCTGCTCAGCTCTCTTTCGTGATTTATACAGGGCAAGGTGCCAGCCATGGAATGGCACAGTCCACAGTGAGCAAGTCTTTCCATCTCAATTAACACAGTCAAGATAATCCCCCAAGTATGGCCAGAGATCCATCTCCTGGGTAATTCTGGAGTCCGTCTAGCCTTAACCATAACACCAATTCCACACAGGAAGCCCACATAAGCTTGTGAGTTGTGACCTCTCCAAGCCTACACGTTTCTGTACTAGCCCAGAGTATCTCAGTCTGTGACAGGATTTGGAGACAGGGAAGGATTTGGTGATAACTAAAGAAAAATGAGGTCCTGAGTCCTTACTATGCTTAGACAAATGCTTTCTAAAGGCTCTTGTGTTAAAGAGTTGATCCCAGCCTGTGGTGCCCACAGGAGCTGGGGAGCCATTGAGAAGTGGAGTCTATGGAGAGGAAGTGAGGTCACTAGGAGCAGGCCTTCTCAGGGGATTGTGGGACCTCGGCCCTGTCTCATGCTCCTTTCACTCATATGCCATGCCTTGCCTTAAACCCAAAGCACACACAGGGAACTGTGTCAACAGCCATGCAATGTCTAGCCCAATTATAGATACACACAGCACCAGTGGCCCTAGAAATGCCACCTAGACATACCATGCTAGGCACTGAGGAGCAAATGCCACAGTATGATAGTGCGATATGAAGTCTGTGGTGACAGAACCAAGCAGGGTGACTGGGGACCAGGAAGGACATGTCCCACTGCTCTAAAGAGTGTACCTGTTTCAGCACATGCATGTGCCAAAAATGATCAGTGATACATCAGGACTGATCATCTAACTGTAAGCTATATATGAGCAACTGTATAGCAGTATGTTGGAAATCTTAGTTGAAATGGACTAATTCCTAAAAGAACTAATAAATCAAAAGGAACTATTTCTTTTTAAAAAATGTGTTCACACATTCCCCTAGACAATTTAAATTTAGATGGTTCATTCTATCAGTAAATTCCATAAGCACAAAAATCCAATCCTAATATTATGTAAGATGTGGGGGACACACTATCAATGTCTTTCATGAACCAGAATAATCTTGACAGTTAAGCCTAAAATGTTTAAGATGTAAAAGACAATTATAAGCCAAAGCCTGGTGTGACAACACACACAGTTATCCCAGCACTTAGGAGACCAAAGCAGGATGACCACTGAGTTTAAGGCCAACCTGAACTACATAATGAGTTTAAAGACAGCCTTGTCTGTTTAGTGAGAGACTGACCCAAAAAGACACACAAATGCATATACACACAAACACCCACGTGTACACACACCCTCATATACCACACGTGTGCTATACACCAACATGACTTATAACTATAGATATTTAAATTCTAAACAATTAATTTGAAATCATTGAACTGAGTCGATAGAATCCAAAGTTAGCTGATGATTAGGAAGTCACTCAACACCTTGACAGGTTTAAAAGAAACCAGTGCTTCCCAATAGCTGCAGAAATAGTTACAACCAAACATCTGTGCTTAATTTTAAAATAAAGAAACAAAACAAGGTGAGCGAAAGGAAGAAACACTTAGCAAACAAAAAACAGAATGGCCTCGATTGCCCACAGCGCATCGTGGGGAGTTTCACTCTTTCAAACCCGCCTTTTGCTACAGAGAACAAGGCAAGCCACAAGCTGGCACCCTGCACATAAATCTTGCACTGGGGTCCTGGCTAGAATGTTGTTCTAGGCGGCCTTCTGTGGCTTTGATAAACACTGGCCAACCAACTTGGGAGGAAAGCATTAATTCCTACTTACACTTCCAGGTCATAGTTCACCATTCTGGGAAGTCGGGGCAGGAATTCAAACAGGAGCAGAGGCAGAAACCACAGAGGAAGCTGCTCCCTGGTCCCTGTTCAGTCTGCTTTCATGTTTCTTCCTGCCTGGGGCAGCACAGTGTGTGTGGAGGGTGGCCCTTCCACTTCAATCAGGAAAACAACCAAGGACAGGACCACACACCAGCCTAATAGAGAAGAGTCCTCCATTCCTCTGTTGAGGTCCCTTCTTCCTGGATGTCTCTAGTCTGAGTCAAGTTGACAAAACTAACCATCGCTTACAGCTGATAGGAGACAAAACTGCTCTTCTTGCCAGAGAATATGACTGTACACACAGAAAATCCAAAGCAATGTAAGGAAAGGGTTCAGGAAAGAGTTACACAAATAATTTAAAAACCTCACAAAATTAGCATTTTTATACAGCAGGCACAGTAAAAAAGACAAAAAGAAATCTATAGCTCACAACTCCAGCTTCCTTACCAGAGGCCAGGCTGGTCCTAGAGACCCCAGGCAAGACACTATGTACAACCAGCTCACACTCCCTAAAGCTGGCTCACAACCCCAGACTGTTCCCCCTTCTCTGGATTCCATATTCCGACCCACTACCTCAGCAGAAAGCTTCTGCTGTGCTAGAGGCCATGCCCTATTAGGGAGCCCAGAGACGAGGCAGGTACCCGTAACTCCAGAGGCCACATAGCTACTTGGAACCACAGAGGCAAAGATGGCACCGAAAACCCAGAGGTTTTCCAGAGTGTAAAAACATCAGCGGAGACACTATTGAACTTGAAAACTTGCCAGCCACCAGAACTCTTGAACAATTAGACTAGAAAACCAGAGAGGATACAGAAACTAAGGAACGAAATACCTATCTAATAAAGAGAAACTCAGGGATCAACATCTAGACATATAATCACCCCAAACCCAGAGCCTAAATGCCAGTGTAGTCGACAACAGAAAGGGCAATATGGCACCACCAGCGTCCAGCTATCCTATGACAGCAAGACCTGAACATTCCAGCACAGATGAAGTACACAACTGAAGAAAACAACCTTATAACAACTTTATAAAGATGACAGAGGTCCTTAAAGAGAAAATGAAAACAATTCATTAAAGAAATCGAGGAAAAGACAAAGAATGGAGGAAATCAATAAATTCCTTAAAGAATGCCAAGAAAATCAAGAAAAATAAATAAACAGGCAAAGGAAACTGTTCAAGATCTGAAAATAAAATAGAATCAATAAAGAAAACACAAACTGAGGATATTCTAGAAATGGAAAATCTGGGTAAGCGAACAGATGCATCACCAAAAGAGAGTAGGAGATGGAAGAGAGACTCTCAGGCACTGAAGGAAAATAAAGAGAGAGATTCATCAGTCAAAGAAAATGATAAGTCGGGCTGGAGAGATGGCTCAGAGGTTAGGAGTACTGACTGCTCTTCCAGAGGTCCTGAGTTCGATTCCCAGCAACCAAAGGGTGGCTCACAACCATCAGTAATGAGATCTGGTGCCCTCTTCTGGTCTGAAGGCATACATACAGGAAGAACCCTGTATACATAATTAATAAATAAGTCTTTAAAAAAATTAAAAAAAAAGAAGAAAATGGTAAGTCTAAAAAAATCCTAACACAAAACATCCAGGAAATCTGGGACACTGTGAAAAGACCAAATCTAAGACAATAGGAATAGAAGAAGGGAAGAATTCCAGCACAAGGCCCAGAAAAATATATTCAACAAAATTAAAGGATAAAAATTTCCTAACCTAAGGAAGGACATGTCTATAAACATACAAGAAGCTAACAGAACACCAATTAGGTTGGATTAGAAAAGAAAGTCCCCGTACCACATAAAAATCAGAACACTAAACACAAGAACAAAGAAAGAATATTAAGAGTTGCAAGCAGAAAAGACCAAATCACATATAAAGGCAGACCTACTAGAATTACTCCTGACTTCTCAGTGGAGACTCTAAAATCTAGAAGGGCCTGGAGAGATGTCTTTAAGAGACCATGAATGTCAACCCAGACTACTACATCAAGCAAAACTTTTAAACACCATACATAGAGAAAACAAGATATTTCGTGACAAAGATAAATTTAAACAATATCTATCCACAAATCTAGCCCTACAGAAGGAATTAGAGGGAAAACTCCAACCCAAGGGGTTAACTACACCTACAAAAACATAAGGCAATAATAAATCAAACATAGGCAAATGCCAAAGAGGGAGAAACACACATACCACAACCAACAACAACAGCATAACAGGAACATCATCAGTCACTAATATCTCTCAATATCAATAGACTCAATTCCCTAATAAAAAGACACAGGCTAACAGAATGGATAGAAAAACAGGATCCGTCCTTCTGCTGCATATAAGGAACGCACCTCAGCCGGGCACTGGTGGCACACACCTTTAATCCCAGCACTTAGGAGGCAGATCTCTGTGAGTTTAGGGCCAGCTTGGCCTACAAGAGCTAGTTCCAGGACAGGCTCTCTGCTCATGTTAGGTTGTGTACCTTGGTCTTATGAAACTCCTAACAGAGGGAGCAGGGGCTGTCTCTGACTCTGTTACCTGCTTTGGGGAACCATTCTTCCTACTGGTTGCCTCATCCAGCCTCAATAGAGAGGAGGTGCCTAGCCTTACTGCAACTTGATATATCATGACTGGTTGATACCCAAAGGAGGCCTGCCCTTTTCTGAAGAGAAAGACGGAGTAATAGAGGGAGAAAAAACAGGTTGGGGGAGGGACTGGGAGGAGAGGAGGGAGGGAGCAGAAAATGTCATCAGGCTGGGAAAATACTAATTAATTACAAACTGGAAAAATGTATACAATGACAATTTTACACACACACATACATACACACAAACACACACAACACAAAGAAACTACTTGTGACCATATAATACACAACACCTAGGAACAAAGACATTTTCTAAAACCCTAGGCGACCTCTGCTGGAGACACTAAGATCTCAGCTCCAAGACTGAAGTACCATGTTCCTGGACCACTAAACACATCAATAGCCACCATCTGTACACACCATGTGACACTAAGCAAAGCCTTAGTTGGTGAGTGTCTTCTGGCTTAGGCATGCACTCTTAATTTGCTTGTTCCTCCCTACACTCATGTTTAATTTTTCAATATTTATATAATTCACACAAGGAAAGATTACATAGCAGTTGTACAGTTTCTATTAAGACTGTAACTGAGAGACCCTCTGGCACCTCAGTCTCTCGGGTCATTCACACTGGTTCAAGAATTGGGAACTCTTTGTCTTTGAAAGAGAAAGCTTGCTTTATTTGTTTATAAAATACACTTGATCTTTACCAGAAAAATTTCCACATAAATTTATATATGAAATATCTTATTTTCCAGAATTAGAGACCAGTGAAGCTTGGATGTTGACTTCCAGAGCTCTGTGGACAGTCACGCATGTGTACACTTCACCAGAGAATTCTTTACACGTCACTGAACATGAGTGTCATGGCAGCCCCCTGATGATAGCTGCTGTCTCCTCTTACAAAGAACTGGAAACAATAAATCTAGTGTCATTTCCCAGCACCTTCCTCCACCCTTTGCAAGAACACTCACCACACACACTCACCGTGTTGTATGTCCCTTCAACTGTTTCCGGTCCTTCTGTAGACTTAGCCACGACTTTCAATACTCCAGGTGAGCCTTTTTCCATTTGTTGAACCTAGTAAGAACACACGAGGTACTGGCTCTAACATGACAGAGAACACGCTAACCATAGGATACGCATGTATGGGCGTGCTTACAGGGTGATGAGCACATGTGTGTTTGAGCACAACAGAGATCTCTGGACTAAGCAGGGAAAGAAAATATCCATGTTCTACATTTTGCAGTTAGAACAAAATCGAGGATTCACTGAGACTGGAGCCCTCACCAAAAAAAAAAAAAAAAAAAGGAACAGAGAGAGGGAGGCTTCCAGGTGTTGACTTACTAAGTGGTTCCACTGGGTGAGTCAGGAAGATTAGCAGGGGTCTAAGTGGGAAGCACAGTACTTGGATGTCACTTGTCACATCTGAAGTGCACTGCTGCCTATGGCCTTTCTGAATGAGCGTGGGGCTCAGGAGCGACACCTAACGGAAGCTGTTAATATGAGTGCCCTGTGCACTCACACAAAACTTACAGCTACCGGCCACAGAAATCATTCATGAAACGTACAGGGCGGTGAAGAAAGATGCAGACAAAAACAAATGGGCACCAGAATCTGCTGGCTGAGCAGATTGGATGGGGAGGCACAGGCTGGGGCCTCATCAGCCAGAACAGCGAGCACTTGGCAGAGGAGACATGACGCTGTGTGCAGCAGAGAGGCCTGTCATGTATGGGCACAGATATGACCACTGGGATTCCTGAAAAGCAGCTTTAAAAGGAGCAAAAAATGGGTGTGAAACAGTCAACAAATCAGAGTTGGTGCGCAGAGGATGTTTGCAAAGGAAAGGAACGATGGGGACTCAGTCAGGAGGCACGCAGAGCCACTTTGTCTGAGGACGAAAGCTGACTGAGAAGACAGAAGACTGATGATGTCACAGCCTTGAGAGGATCACAGGGAAAGAAGGGATAGTTGGGGTGGGTATGTTTGCAGACCTGGGGTAGACAGGTCACCTTCAGCCCTGTGTGAGTGTGTGCAGACCTGGGGTAGACAGGTCACCTTCAGCCCTGTGTGAGTGTTTGCAGACCTGGGGTAGACAGGTCACCTTCAGCCCTGTGTGAGTGTGTGTGCAGACCTGGGGTAGACAGGTCACCTTCAACACTGTGTGAGTGTGTGCAGACCTGGGGTAGACAGGTCACCTTCAGCCCTGTGTGAGTGTGTGCAGACCTGGGGTAGACACGTCACCTTCAGCCCTGTGTGAGTGTGTGCAGACCTGGGGTAGATAGGTCACCTTCAGCCCTGTGTGAGTGTGTGCAGACCTGGGGTAGACAGGTCACCTTCAGCCCTCTGTGAGTGTGTGCAGACCTGAGGTAGACAGGTCACCTTCAGCCCTGTGTGAGTGTGTGCAGACCTGGGGTAGACATGTTACCTTCAGCCCTGTGTGAGTGTGTGTGCAGACCTGGGGTAGACAGGTCACCTTCAGCCGTGTGAGTGTGTGTGCAGACCTGGGGTAGACATGTTACCTTCAGCCCTGTGTGAGTGTTTGCAGACCTGGGGTAGACATGTTACCTTCAGCCCTGTGTGAGTGTGTGCAGACTAGTTTATTAGATGAAATGAAAGAGGGTAAAACTTTAAAAAAGATTTTAAAAAGACAGCAAAAGCGTCCACGCTGCTCAGACTTGCCAAAACAGGAGTGAATTTCCTCTGGAACTTGACACCTTGTTGTTCCATGTAAGATCCCACCTTCTCTGCCATTTCTTGATCAAAGCCACGAAGAAGGACAGAGCGTACCATAACTGTCACGTCTAACCCCAAGCCAGCCAGGAACCCCGCGCACTCCAGACCGACATAGGAGGAGCCTATGACTAGCGTGCGCCCAGGGCAGTACGGCAGAGAGAAGAGGTCATCACTGAAAGAGACAAGACGAACAAGGCAGGCTGTAATCACAAGACGGGTTTCCGTGTGTGCTGATCTTTGGTTGGAAAGGCAATTCAGTGCCTGAGTGGAGACACTAGAAGAACACAACAGCTTCTAGAAGCTTCGAGTCAGGTCTACTTGAGAGGACGTGGAAAAGACATGAGTCAGTGCATTCAAAATCAAGTAAGATCACAAGCAAATTATTTAAAAAACAAAACAGAGGGCCTGAAGAGACGGCTCAGTGGTTAAGTGCACTATCTATTCTTGCAAAGGACTAGGGTTCAGTTCAGAGCACCCATATGGTAGCAAACAGCCAACTCTAACTCTCATTCCAGAAGATCTGATGCCCTCTTATGGCTTCTGTGGGTACTGCACACATGTGGTGCCCAGAAAAACATGCAGGAAAACTTCAGTACATAAAATAAAAATAAATTAATTTAAAAAATTAAAATAGAGCTAGAGTGGTGGTGCATGCCTTTAATCCCAGTACTCAGAAGGCAGAGGCAGGTCGTTCTCTGTAAGTTCAAAGCCAGCCTGATCTACAAAGCAAGTTCCAGGACAGCTAAGACTGTTATACAGAGAAACACTGTCTCAAAAATCCAAAATAAATAAATAAATAAGAATAATAAAATAAAATATAAAGGAAAGTACTTTGTTTTACAGGGTCATTGTGTGTTATGTGGATGTGTATGGCATATGAGGTATGTGCAGTGTGTGTGTGTGTGTGTATGTGTGTGTGTGTGAACATGTGTGGCATGAGAAATTTTATAGTGTGTGGCATGTAGTATATAAGCTATGTGTAGGATGGGGTATGTGTGGATTGTATGATCTATAAGATGTGTGGTATGTGTGATGAGTGGTATGTATGGATGTGTACAGTGTATGAGATATGTCTAGCGTATGGTGTGTGTAGTATTGTGGTGTGTGGTACGCGTGGATGTGTACAGTGTGTGAGGTATATATATATATATGTGTGTGTATGTGTGGTGTGTGGTATGCATGGATGTGTAAGGTATGAGATATAGATAGTATGTGGTATATGTAGTATGTACTGTGTATAAGATATGAGCATTAAGTATGGTATGTGTGCTGTGTGCAGACGTATGGTGCATGAGTTATATGTGATTTGTATGGTGTTGGTGTGTGAAGTCTGCATGGATGCAGATGTATGGTGCATGAGTTACATGTGATTTGTATGGTGTCGGTGTGTGCAGCCTGCATGGATGCGTACAGTGTGTGAGGTATGCATAGAGTATATGGTTATGTGCGGTGTGTGTGGACCTGATGAAAACGTATTTCCTCAACACACTTCTATTTCACAGTCTGAAGTCCCTGCAGGGTCACGGGCTCTAAGGACACCTGGGAACACTGGCGTGAATTTGCAGTGTAGGAAGAGCAGCGCTGCCCTGGACCAACTAACTCATCTCTACCCTTGGCCATGCGACCTCACAGCTAGTCAGCTTTGCATCTTTGCTTCAGCCTCTTCCGGCAATTACCGAGAAACAGCATGGCTTCTGCGTGGGTTCTGCCTGACCTTCCATCTCTTTGCTTTACTATGTTAACAGGGGCTTCTTGTGCCATGTGTACTTCTACCATGAATTCAAATCCTCCGTGAAATAAGACAAGGAGCATGTAAAACGGGAACATCAGCACACACAATGCAGCGAAGTTGAAAGGGTCTATCTACTCTTACCTCGTAATACAGTATTCCTTATCTCCTTGGATTCCCAGGTACCGTGGCCTTTCACCTGTTGCTATGACAAACTTCGAAGCAGTGTAAAAAGTCTCCTGTCCTTTTTTATTGGTTGCCTTGAAAAGAAGGAAAATAAATTTCAGCAATCTCACGGCCACCCACACAGGCTCATTCCACAGGAGTGACAGGTGTGCAAAAGTCAGCGGTGCCGTGTGACTGGCACCACACAGACAGCTCAAGTCAGCACAGCGCAGGGATCACAGCCCCACTCTGGGGCTGGGGTGGCAGAGTTTAGGATGGCTTCACAGAAGGCCTGGAGACACGAAGACTGCCTCTGTCAGACTGGTGTGGCTAAGTCCACGCTGCATTCACTTATCTGATGACTGAGTGGGAAGGCAGTACCACCGTGGGCAGCTTGTATATGGCAGCTAGCTGAACACGAGCCCGGGAGCAAGCCAGTAAGCAGCTCTCTTCTGTGGTTCCTGCCTCTGCTCCTGCTTGCACTCCTGCCCTGAATGACCTGGGAGTGTAAGCCTGGAAGGGAGGCTGGAGCTAAAAAATGAAGGCTCTCACATACCACGCCACAGATCTGCAGCTAAGGAGAGCCTGCAAGAGCTATCAGTTATTTGTGATTGGACGAATAATTCAAAATGCATTTCCAGGTAAGAAATTGCAATGCCGACGATGCTGTTTAAACAGTGGATGTCACGACCAGCTGGAAGGTGGCACCGAGCCAGTGGCTTCTTAGGGCAGTTGTGAGGCAGACAAGTGAGGGTAGGTGGGACTGAAGAAGCTCTGTGCTGGCCTTGAGGGAGAAGAGGGCCCCAGGGGAGGCCGGGTGGGCAGGGCAAGTCAACCATCTGCCAGGCCCTGGACTGGTTGAGAAACGAACTAACACATGTTGCTACAGAATCTGGAGGGATTGAAGAAGCAACCTCAAGCTGACCAGCCCTCACCTGTCTCAGCTGGTCTAACAACGGATCCTGTCAAGATTATCTCATGCTGTGTTTGCAAAAAGTACAAAACTATCCAGATGTCAATGGTGATACTAATTGCACAGGGATCCACGGAGGGCAATGCTTGATGTCCTTCCTAATTACAATTTTAAATGGTGGTCATTCAGATGACCTCATTTCCTTACAGAGACTCATGGGATATAAACATCGCATACATAACCTCGTAAAGCAGATTGAAGGCTACATTTTCAATTTCCAAAAGCTCCCCGCTGCTGAAATACTTTAGTCTTGTGCACTTCAAGCTATTTAAATATTTTGAATAACATTGAAATGAAAGGCAAACAATACCTTTAGATTAAGAGGTCTTTAAAATGTGCGTGCAATCAACATGCAGTGGTATGAAAAGCACATATGTGCGGCCACGTGCTGTGTGACACGCCAGCTGCCGTCTTTACTGTGCAACATGGAATGCCCAAGGCCAAGTATACAGAATGGGAGACAAGGAACCAGGAGAATCCAGGTAGTACCTTGATTTTGTGCAGCTCCACAAACTCCCCATAGGCGTTGACGTAGGCCACGCCTTTCTCCCGAAGGGTCAGCCGGTAGCCCCAGTTCAAGGAGCTAATGTGGTTCTGAATCGCTTCTGTCATGACTTCCCAGTTGTGTTTTACTGGAAAACAACCAGAGGAAGGCACACAGTGAAATTTTGTTGCTGATGTTTCTTTCATTTTTGAAACAGGGTATTTCCCTGCTGCCCAGGCTGGCCTTGAACTCGTGATGTTCCTGTCTCCTGGAATCATATGTGGTACCATCATGCACAAGCAGATTGCATGTGACCACACATGAGCCACACCACCGGCTTAAAAACAAGAACATGATGTATCTTAAATCTCCTGTGCCTGCTATGATTTTTTCTTCCTCTTTCACATTACAAAGTGTGGGAGAAGACGGAGTTCTGAGAAGAAAAAATGGAAAAAGCCACAGAGAGGTGCATACCCCACAGGGCAATGGCCACCATGCAAGGGGAGGGTCACTCTGTCAGGAAGATCCTCTCAGAAACCCTTCTTACACCATGGTGCCTGCTTCCCTCATCCCACCTGGTGGGAAGAAGTCCTTGGGTTGAGAGGGACAAAGAAACCCACCTTCCCCTACGGCACGGGCATGTGTTGAGCACTGCACAACACTGTTAAAAATCAGTGTAAGACATTCACAATAAAAGCTTTGCTTCTCTGTCCATTTTCCGTCCAAGGCTGACTCAGTTTGCACTGGATTTTCTGTTGTCATAGCCTTGGCAAACACTTTCCCAGGCCCGGGTGGGAGCTCTCCCTCTGGTGACCCAGCAGAGAGACTGTTGTGCATAGCATTAAAAGGAACAATAATGTGAATATGACCAATGCAAACAGAAACCTTCCTTTGCAGGAAAGGTGGTGGAGGCACTGCCCTTCCTTTGGACATAAAGACTGCCCCCTGTTTGGAAGACAATGGCCCCCATAGAGAGGGGCACTATTAGGAGGTGTGGTTTTGTTGGAGTAGATGTAGCCTTGCTGGAGGAAGTGTGTCACCGTGGAGGTGGCCTTTAAGGTCTCGTGTATGTTCAAGCTATGCCCAGTTTCTCAGCCCACTCCCTGTTGCCTGCAGATCAAGATGTAAGAACTCTTGGTTCCTTCTCCAGCACCATGTCTGCCTGTATGCTGCCTTGCTTCCCGCCATGATGATAATGGACTGAACCTCTGAACTGTATGTGAGTCACCCCAATGTTCTCCTTTATAAGAGTTGCCATGGTCATGCTGTCTCTTCATGGCAATAGAAACCCCAACGAAGACATCCCCCACACAGGATTATCAGCAAAAACCTCCTGCGCTGCATCCCCTGTGTTGTAATATTAGGCCAAGTAAAACACTTATCCCCAAGTGTCATCTTTGCTTATTTTTAGTAGAGCAAGCTGAGCCGAAAACAGCAGCAGGGACAACAGACTGTGAGGCAGCCACTGCCATAACAGCTGCAGCAGAGGTGGAGCTGTGGAAAGCAGTCAGAAGGCCAGCCAACAGGAAAGGGGAGCCATGCTCCTAGCAAGGCTACATGGGACATACAACTAGAGGCCAAGGTTAAGGCCATGAAAACCACCAGTGGTCTTGACAAGGGGCAGAGGTAGCAATGACTCCTGAAAAGTCTGAGCTGCCTGTGGAACTGTGAGCTGTAGCTGTCACAGCAAGCTGCAAAGGGTACCCATCCTGCCTAGGGCTGAGGAATCCCCACCTCCTAATCCTACCCTGTTCCTGGCACCGCCCAAGAATTGTAACACTAGAGGGCGCCATCTGTTGCCACTCCCTCCTGTCTGAATCCATGCCCTGCTGAACACCAGCACTTCTATCTAGGTGTGCCAGGGCAGTCCAGCCAGGGGACAGTGGCAGTCATTGACCACAGTCCACTCGCCTGGCCAGCCTTGCTCACTTCCACTCCCAGTTGGCTCCCTGTGAGATGCTTTTGTGATAGTAAGCCTTGTTTGTTTTCTCAGGGTTGGGGATGGAACCAGGCAAGTCCTCTACCAGGTCCTTCCTTACATCTCCTTACAATAAATGACGGAAACTCAGCGTTGCCTTTCCTCTCACGCTATTGACTAGTTCTTTCTGGCATGAGACTAGGATTCAACTGCTGATGCATTCCTCCACCCGCCTCTTCTAGGTGGGACTCCTTCCTGCCTACGGGTGCTGGACTGGAGGCTCACACGCACCCCTGTGGGGCTCCACATTCACAAGACACAAGAGCCTGTCTGGGGAATCTGGTCATAACTGGGTAAGTCTAGAAAACAAACCAGCAACTGAGGGGTGTGGTCCCATCTCTTTCTCTAAGAAAGCCCCTCTCTAGCCCCAAGCACAGCCAATGACACCAGGGTAAAAAGACCTCTAGGGTTTGGCAGCCTGGAGAGGTCACTTCCGTTACTGCCTGCCCTCATGATGCAGTGTTCTCCACAGCGGCACGTGTCTGCAAACTGCAGCCTAGAGGACCTTTCCTTCCAGCCCTCTGAGGAACTTTGACTGCAGTGGTCCTGTCCAAACAACCTTTACTGTAAAAAGCTGGAGCCCCAAACATGGCTGTGCATCAGCCTGCACGTCCTGCGAATAGCCAAGTCCCAGATCCCCTGAGCTCCTCAGAAGACCAACTGGCCAAATCTAGGGCCTGGCTGTGTTCCACCTCGTGTCTATTCTTTCACTGTTAAATTGGATGAGAAAAGTCGTCCTCTGTTCAGAGAAAGCTCAGATAGTCTTGCAGGTTTATTTTCCAATATAAACTTTAAAATGATCACTTTTGAGCTTGAAGGGGGAAAATAAATTCTCAGATTGTGCTGGGTCTGCATAGTTATGAGCTAATCTCGAGATACGGCCTCTTCACAATATTGAGACAACCCCTCTAATTCGCATTCCTTTTGGTGTGCACTAACAGTCTTCCCATGTACACCGTTAGCTTTGCTCCAAGGCATCTCATCATTTTTGTCATTTTTCACTATATTTTTAGCTTGTTATGGCTGGCAAGTGAGAGATGTGATTTTCACACTAACTGAACTAATTAATTCTAATATTGCTAAGCTCAATCTTTTATATGTCCTAGATATATCACATCATGAAGTTAGACCTTTTCCCCATTAACCCTTTTCAAGCGTATGTCCTTTCCTCCCTGTGCAGTGGCCAGGGGGACTACAGCCATGCACAGGGTGACTCTGGGGCACTAGCGCTGTGCACGGGGTGACTCTGGGACACTAGCGCTGTGCACGGGGTGGCTCGGGGCACTAGCGCTGTGCACGGGGTGGCTCGGGGCACTAGCGCTGTGCACGGGGTGGCTCGGGGCACTAGCGCTGTGCACAGGGTGACTCTGGGGCACTAGCGCTGTGCACGGGGTGACTCTGGGACACTAGCGCTGTGTACGGGGTGACTCTGGGACACTAGCGCTGTGCACGGGGTGGCTCGGGGCACTAGCGCTGTGCACGGGGTGGCTCGGGGCACTAGCGCTGTGCACAGGGTGACTCTGGGGCACTAGCGCTGTGCACGGGGTGACTCTGGGACACTAGCGCTGTGTACGGGGTGACTCTGGGACACTAGCGCTGTGCACGGGGTGGCTCGGGGCACTAGCACTGTGCACGGGGTGGCTCGGGGCACTAGCGCTGTGCACGGGGTGGCTCGGGGCACTAGCGCTGTGCACGGGGTGGCTGGGGGCACTAGCGCTGTGCACGGGGTGGCTCGGAGCACTGTGCACGGGGTGGCTCGGGGCACTAGAGCTGTGCACAAGGTGGCTCAGGGCACTAGAGCTGTGCACAAGGTGGCTCAGGGCACTAGAGCTGTGCACAAGGTGGCTCAGGGCACTAGAGCTGTGCACAAGGTGGCTCAGGGCACTAGAGCTGTGCACAAGGTGGCTCAGGGCACTAGAGCTGTGCACAAGGTGGCTCGGGGCACTAGCGCTGTGCACGGGGTGGCTCGGGGCACTAGCGCTGTGCACGGGGTGGCTCGGGGCACTAGCGCTGTGCACGGGGTGGCTCGGGGCACTAGCGCTGTGCACAGGGTGACTCCGGGGCACTAGCGCTGTGCACGGGGTGACTCCGGGACACTAGCGCTGTGCACGGGGTGGCTCGGGGCACTAGCACTGTGCACGGGGTGGCTCGGGGCACTAGCGCTGTGCACGGGGTGGTTCGGGGCACTAGCGCTGTGCACGGGGTGGCTCGGGCACTAGCGCTGTGCACGGGGTGGCTCGGGGCACTAGCGCTGTGCACGGGGTGGCTCGGGGCACTAGCGCTGTGCACGGGGTGGCTCGGGGCACTAGCGCTGTGCACGGGGTGGTTCGGGGCACTAGCGCTGTGCACGGGGTGGCTCGGGCACTAGCGCTGTGCACGGGGTGGCTCGGGGCACTAGCGCTGTGCACGGGGTGGCTCGGGGCACTAGCGCTGTGCACGGGGTGGCTCGGGGCACTGTGCACATGCACTACGTGACTCTAAAGCACTGTTAAGTATGAGCACGACTACAGTGCTCATACTTAACACAGAATCACGCTCTCCAATAAATCTTTGCTTTCCACTCTTCACCCTGAAAAGAAGTTTCATATGTTAGCCTTACTGACAGAGTCTTTTAAAGCGCAGTTGGTGTGAGATTTTATTAAATGTCTTTAGGGTCACCATGTAAACCCTAGGGGTTGCCATTGTACTTCCCTGACCCAGATTCCTCTTGCTACCTACTGTGAGCCCTCAGAAGTGACACATATTTCTTTGTCACTTGGGTGACCTCCATAGGATGCACTTTTTTGTTTCTAGATTCACTTAGCATTATAGTTACTTCAGTCTCAACTTTTCTTGAGTCTTAAAATACCCCAGCCTCCCGTTTCCTAGTCTTGTCAATCTACATCCCCAGTCCCTACTTTGTCACCATATGCTGTGACTCTGCTTCACAGCTCTTGCTCAGCTCTCTCTCCAGACAACCCTTCCTCAGAGAGCTAACCTTCTAGGACGTTCTGCAGATGCTTTCAGTAGAATGTGAAACAACATAAGGATTTACGGAGGAGTATTCTTAAATACAGAAATCCCACCCAGACACCAACCCACAAGCAGAAAAACTTGACTCCATCCTCAACCACCAGCTCCTACAATAATACCCTCAGCGAGAGCCTGGTGAAATGGGACTAGTCTCAGCTACCACACCCAGCTACTAACTGCTACTACTCAACTGAACCCACTACTAACTGAGCCTGCCCGTGTTGTCCATCTCAGAGAGCCACAGTCCTCACCCAGTGTGCAACCTAATGCCTGCCTCTCTCCTCCATCTTAGGGAATCTGCTGTGTCTATGGCTGTCGGTCACTTGCAATACTCTAGACAGGGACTACCCACATCTGGATCAAGGTCTCTGGAGAGAGATAAACTCTCCACAAGGTCTCCTGACATGGCCACCATGAAGACTCTCCACCTCTGTGTTCTTCTGGTCACCACAGCCCATCACATCTGTATCACCAGCCTCCTAAACCCACCGCCCACTCTTAGCCCAGTATCTTTGCTCAGATCTTTGCATTTCTTGCCTCATCTCTCCCTCCTCTTCCCAAATTCCTTAGTGCTTCCAGAAAGATCTCTAAACTGCAGCCTTGGCTTCTCCTGCCTGAGCTTAACCCTCATTACCTCTGGGATAAAGTCTAACTGCTTAGCTCTCTAGGGTCACCCCTTCCACCATCTTCACCTTACCCGCCCCCCAACAGAGTGTATTTTCTCACATCTGCAGTTCTGGTCAACCTGCTTCTGGTCCTAATGTCTTCCTCCTCTGTGACATTCAAGATGCAGCTTGAATGCCCAGTTGTGCATGTTTGTCATTCCAATTGCTCAGGAGGTAGAGGTAAGAGGATCACTGGAGCCTAGGAGTTCAAATCCCACCTGGGGAACATAGTAAGCAAGACCTTGTCTCAAAAGAAAAGGGGGGAGGGATGGTTAACATAGCAGAGGTCAAGGGGTTACTGCATCCTTAAAGCTTTTCTCCTTTGATGCTGCAGGTACCCCTCAAGTGATCTGCAGAGATTCTGCTGCTTCTGGGTGGGATCTGCTGTCCTTACCTTGCATGGAAGAGCCCCAACAGCAAACGGGAATGGGACTCAGTAAAGATGCTTAACACAGATTCGACACCACCAACGACCACTACAATAAACTTTCATTCTATTTTTTTAATACGGGGAAAAAATGGAAATGGCCATTTCTGCCTTTCACCTTCTGCTGGACTTGCTCAAGTTTTGTCTCTAGGCCGAAGTCCCAGGACAGTGGCCGGCGCTGTGGCCTCTGCAGCTGGTGGGCAGAGTGGTCATGCCTTAGGAATGAGTGACTGTCAGAAGCAGCTGCAGAGTCGTGGACTCAGCCTGTCTGGGTTTTCCAGCCCCCACTCACCCTGCTGGTTATATTCCCAGCCAAACTTCCTCGAGTCCTGCAAGGCCTGCCCCAGGAGGGCTGCCTGGTGCATCAGTTTCTTAGGAATACAGCCCACATTTACACAGGTGCCACCAAGGCCTGAAAAGAAAGCAACAGTCAACATTCCCCACGTGCTTGCATGAGGCTTCTCACATCAATGTGGGGTTATTAAAACATGTAAAAATGATGTGTTGGCAGTGACAGGGACAACTTTTATCTTCCAAATGAGACACAAATGACAAAGTCAACTCTGCAATCTGCAATCTGCAGAGAAGACCCAATAATGAGTGGAAATGTGGATCTATATGAAGAACTCTGGAGACAAGACTGCACTTGCATCCGAGGCTCAAAGGACAAGAGACACCTTAGCTAATGAGATAAGTGTTGCACCTTGGAGCTTCTGGCCTCTCCTTAACTCTCACTCCCCTGAGCCAACTGTCAGCCTGCAAAAGTTGCCTGGTGGTACCTATTCTGAATGTGACATACACAAAACAGGCCAGGCCTATGGACCCCTTTGCAGGACCTATGTAAGGAATTCTCTCCAAGGCAGTCTCTTCCAGTGCACGGATTAGCGGGATCTTTTTGGATAGGAGAGGAAGAAAACAGGGAAGAGGTAGGGGGAGGAAAAATATCAAGGGTATACACCCAGACAAGTCAAAGAACAAGCAAGGTGTGCTGCTATACCCTGGGAGGTCTAGGCTAAGGCCTTTGAATTAGCTTGAATGTCAAACAGTGTTTTGTTTTGTTTTGTTTTGTTTTGTTTGTGGGGTGTTGCTTTTTCCATACTTACTTTACCTATCATGGTTCTGGGAAGAACAAGAAAGCACAGTCGGGCTGGGTCCAAAAAGAGTCCAGAGAGCAATGAAAACAAGGTTGGGACAGAAGAGTAAAAAAGGTCAGAGCAGCAGCCAAAGCTAGCAATAGCAGTGACCACGAGAAGGGGCCAGAACAAGAGGAAAGTGAAAGGACTGGTGCATGCATGCAAAATCTGCAGCAGAAGTGCAGGTGCTGGTCCTGAAACTGCCTTTCTTTTTGTAAAGCTGTACTGTTCGCATGTTCATGAGCAGAGTCTGCATCATTGGATGACTCACCCTCCTGAGACCAGGAAGGGTTACAGGGAATTACAAGAAAGAAGCTGCCTGTAAAAGCATAGGGTAAGAGCTGAAGAGATGGCTCAACAGTTAGGAGCTTTGGCTGTTCTTCCAAAGGACCCAGGTTCAATTCCTAGCACCTACATGTCAGCTCACAACCGTCTGTACCTACAGTTCCAGGAAATCTGGCACCCTCACACAGACATACATGCAGGCAAAACACCAATACACATTAAATAAATAAATAAATTCATTAATTAAAGAGGACAAACAGGAAGTACAGCTTACCCCAGGATGAGCCCTGAGGCGATGGGACCACAAAGTCTAGCACCATGACCTTCTTTCCCAAGTTGGCAGCTTCCTACAAAAACAACCACATGGTGTCTTGTCACCTTCTCACCCCCATTTTATCTCCCTTAAGTGAACAGTCTCAATTCACTGGATACTACTCCATCCCAACAGAGTCAGTTACTATAAAAGCCTAGATTGCAAGATTATGTTAACTTCGAAAAGTCATGGATGGTTCACTCATGTCCATACCTTTGCACAAGAGAGACCGCCAGAACCCCCGCCGATGATAATGAGATCGAAATCATGAACCAAGTCTTCCTGAAGGAGCTTCTGCAGTAAACCGTTGTGATGTGCCTACAGATTACCAAAGCAGACAGAGCAGCACATGACTCCATTTTCAACCAGCATGGACTCTTTGACTAACAAATCTGGAGCTGAATAAATTCATCAGTCAAGAGCACATATTATCCAGCAGAGAAACTGAGTTCAGTTCCAAGAACCAGGATGGCTGGCTCACAACTGGAAACTGAAGCTCCGGGGATCTGACATCTTTGCCCCCTGCAGGCATCTGTGAGTGTGCTCTCACACACCTGCACACACACACACACACACACACACACACACACACACTCAAAAACAAAAAAAAATGTATTTAAAAAATACTCAATGCTCGGGATTTAGCTTAGGGGTGGAGCACAAGGTCCCACGTTTAGTTCCTGGCACCAAAAATGAAGAAGAAAAGCAAAGAAAACTCTGAGGAATGATGGGTCAAACGTTTGTGTTGGGATTGTAAATCTACCTAGATCTAAGTATATATCCACTGTGAATAAACATTCTGATAGTTATCAGTGTCAAACGAGGCCACTTTCCATGGAGAAATGGTCAAGTGTCACTTTTCAAGGTCTTGTTTCTCTGGACTAGTCTTCATTTGAAACCTGGTTTTTCTGCACCAGCGGCTGTCTTCATGATCTCTCAGACTTCATTCCACAGCACTGGGCGACTTCCTTTATCACACACATCTCAGTGTTTCTTTCCCAACAGCCATAAAACAGGCTCTGGGGTCTCTTGCTCCTTTGACCCCTTGGTGAGAAGGTGTTCATGGGCGAGGCAGTAAGTGATTAAGTGACTCAGCAACTGACTTCATGTAAAGCCTGTTGTTTGGAAGCAGCAAACTTGGGCTAGCCCTGTCCGTAAAGCAGCTCAGGTGCCCCGTACAAAACCATTAGGACTCAAAGGTCCTCTGTGACCACTGGGGGATGGCACCAGCTATGAGATCTTTGGGGAATGGCGCCAGCTACGTGACCACTGGGAAATGGCTCCGGCTATGCGACCACTGGGGGATGGCACCAGCTATGTGACCACTGGAAAATGGCACCAGCTATGTGACCACTGGGAAATGGCGCCGGCTATGCGACCACTGGAAAATGGCATCAGCTATGTGACCACTGGGAAATGGTGCTGGCTATGTGACCACTGGAAAATGGCATCAGCTATGTGACCACTGGGAAATGGCGCCGGCAATGCGACCACTGGAAAATGGCATCAGCTATGTGACCACTGGGAAATGGTGCTGGCTATGTGATCACTTGGGAATGGCGCTGGCTATGTGACCACTGGGGAATGGCGCTGGCTATGTGACCACTGGGGAATGGTGCTGGAGATGGTTTCTAAAACATTCTAGAAAAAATACCCTGGCCTCCTTATTTTATGTGACTCAGAAAAATCTACCTCCTCAGACTCCAGATGGTTCTCTGGCATCATCGTCAAGGTTAGGATGGATGGTCTAGACAGTGCTGAGGAGTACAGCACTTACCACCTGCACAGTGGCAGGATGCTTCCAGGACAGCAGAGCTATTACTGCATGATCATGTGAATCAGAAATTAACATTCAATCTGACGATCCTCCCAGCCAAAAATTATTCTTAATTACAATTTCAGATATGTATTTAATCATTGGTTACTAGTGCTTACATACCTACACAAGGGATTAAAACAGAACTGAATCAAGATAAAATAATTAATTATAGGATAAGAATCTTATTTAATAAATAGCGAGGAAAGACCAAGCCCAGGGCTTCACGCATGCCAGGCAGCCACTTTACTCCTGAGCCACATTCCATTACACCCAGTTTTAATCTGTTACTACCAGAATGGCCCCATGCATTTCCTGCACTCTGAGAAATAAGACGTTAAAAGCCCCATGCCCAATATCGGCAGCCCTGACAAGAATTCTAACTCCCTGGACAACGGTGTACATGTTGACCAACTCTTGTTAGAGAACAGCTTGTTTACCCCATCAGGAGGAAGAGACTCGTCCTAGCCCCAGGGACCCACCTGCTGCTCTTCCTGGGGACATGTGAACAAATCCCTGTCTACCTCAGATAGGGCACAACAAAGGTATGACCCCAGGTACAGCTCAGTGGGCTGCTTCTGGGAGTGTGGGCTTTCTGCCGGCCACACTACTGAAGAAGGATCTGTCTTCATGGAAGTTAACAGCTTATCTGGCTCTAGGAAGGGGTGGGGCCTCATGACCTGCTCCCCGAGCCTCTGTGAGCCCCTCATGGGCCTCAGGATGCTCCTTCCCTCCTCACATACGCACACAAGGGAGTGGTGATGGCTACAGTGCTATGAGTGTCACAGCTGCTCTGACTTCAGGCTAGGAATGGCCCTCCCGTGCCTGGCGGCCAGCACTGTATAACTTCTCAGGTTTAGTTGGTGGGAAGGTTCCTTTCCCTTGAGTCTTCAGGGGTATCTGGTAACCAGCCTCTGGCTTTTCCACTGGTACTCCCCTTTAATGTTAATTAAATTACAATATGAACAAACAGTGACAAGGACCATGAGTGATGGCGATCGTTACCTGGAAAGTCTGGTCACATCCGCCGACGTGTACTTTATTCACAAAAATATTGGGCACTGTTTTCTGGTTACTGATTTCTGTCAACACTTCTTGAACATTGGCCCCATCCTCTAAAGAATAAAACAGCATATGAAGACACAATAAAGGGTTCCCTCGCAGAGCTCAAGTCTTATGGTGCTCACTGCTCATTGCTTACAAGGTCACGTCCATGACAGGCCAGTGTGCTCCATGACTTTCTGAAATAATGACCAAGATGGGAAAGCTCTGCACCTTCAGAGGACACCTTCAACCCAACAGCCTACCTACGGGTTCCTTCTAGGACAAAGCATCTGGGTTAGCTTTTGCATATATAGTTGCTCTGCCACGACCAAGGGACAGGTATCCTTTAAGAAAGCAAAACCCAAGTGAAACCTGTTACCATAACTAATGAGAAAGTGCTTCCTATGATTACATTTAAAAATTTTTGTGGCCAGGAAGTGGTGGCACATGCCTTTGATCCCAGTACTCAGGAGGCTGAGGCAGGTGGATCTCTATGAGTTTGAGACTAGCCTAGTCTACAGAGCAAGTTCCAGGACAAGTTCCAAAGCTACACAGAGAAATCCTGTCTTGAAAATCAAAAAAAAAAAAAGTTTTTCACCCCCCCCCCTTCTTGGAAGACACGGCAGGGCGCCATGACATTTAAGACTTGACACTCATTGGTAAGAAACAAGAGCACCTTGTTTCTTAAAACAATTTGGTGAAAAGCTGGTCCCATGAAGGCAAAGTTGAGGGCTTTTCTCTGGTCACTGTCACATCCCAAATTCCTGTGAAGAACAGCAGGTGTGATGTGTTCAGTGACTGTCGTGGTCATGGAAGACAAAGATTCAAAACCAGGCTGAAACCTTAGCACGCTCTTCCCCAGGAAACAGGGTGGATTCCTCTCGTTGTGACCATTTCATCTATTCTACGGAATGCTGACAGGCAAGTAGCCAATGTCGCCAACACTTTAAAATTAGCAGCCACAGCTTCCTATGCCCTGCCCTCAAATATGGAAAATCTTTATAAAATTGATTGTCATATGAAGGTTCATCTTCTGTGCGGCTGAACACAAACAAGTGCTCATTTTACAGAAAGACATGAAAACACGCTGAGTTGAACAAAGTAAGTGGAACAGTCATGCTGCCATTTACTACAAATAGCAGCATTACCGACAGCTACTCACCAACTTGATCAAGTTCCAGGATGTTATAGTCCACGCCTAAAGATGAAAAGAGCTCCTTTACCTGCAAGAGAAACCCTGGTGAGCTTCGTGCTCTCAAAAGGCTCAGGAGCTATGAGAGGTGTCCATGTGGCATATGATGATAAGAGATGTCCACCACAGATAATCTTTAGACACATGGGTTCTCGCTCACGGAGTCTCACACTTTCCTCTCTATACTCCCACAATAGCCCAGTCTGCCACCTCCATTCTTTTACTCTGTCTCCTTGTGACTCCTAATGAACTCTTTTGCCCAAATCTCTTTTCTGGCTCAGGACAGGTTTCTGGCACTCCTCCACGGGTGCCATGCCTCGGTGCAAATCTTCTTCAACCATATCGCTTCTTTTTTCTGTGCTTCCTCTCAACAGCCATTAAGTTCCTCCAACTAAATCATCCATCAAGCATCTAAGACCAGTCAACCATGATTCCAAGTTCACAAGAGGCAATGATGAACCAGACACACTCTCTGTCTTCTAAGACAGAAATCAGGAGCACGATGACACTTTAACTATGGCCCATTCACCAGCTAGCTGCACATCCAAATGCCCCAAAGTCTGCCTGGGAGACCACGGTGCAGGATCACCCCGTGCTCACAAGCCACACAGCACTGAATCTGCACTGTAACCACTGCAAAGCTCTGGCTAGGCTTTTCCTGAATGCCTGCCTTCCAGCCATCTTCCAGATCACACTAACCTCCCCACCACCCATTCAGTGACAGCAATGGCTAGGTCATGGCTCTCTGTGTGGAACTGCTCCACTCTCTAGTTCCCAACAGTAACTCATCCTCAAGGGTTCCTGCCGCTGCCAGCCTTGTCTCCTCTAGATCAACCCACTGGCAGCCACTGATCTTTCCATAGCCATTTGCTGACACCACCCTTCAACACCTCCACCCTTGAGACAAACCCTGGAGGCTCCAAGGCCTAAGCGGATTTGGTGACACATCTATAATCAGGATAATTTTATCTAAGAGTAACACTTTCACGTCTTGGAAATCCCCTAAGAACATTCGGCAAATGAGCATTTATTCCAGAAAATTTCCTAAGGAAAAGCAGAGTCTGTGGCCCTGTAGCTTGGTCCTGTCCCTTTCTCCTCTCCTGGCAGGAGGAACTCTATTTCAAGTGAGGGTGGCTCCAAAACAGTATGTCCTCAAATGGCAGGTCACCAGCATCTCTCGACTTTGAGTCACAGAAGTTTCAAAACAGGGCTCCCCTTCCTCCACTCAACCCTATCTGAGGTCATACAGGTGGCTGATAGAAAATCCTAGGGTCCTGATCATACTCCCTGTGTAAGGTCAAGTCTCGGGAAGATGTCACAGAAGTTTCAAAGCAGGGCCCCCCTTCCTCCACTCAACCCTATCTGAGGTCAAACCCTCTATACAGGTGGCTGATAGAAAATCCTAAGGTCCTGATCATACTCCCTGTGTAAGGTCAAGTCTCAGGAGGACAAGTAAAAGCCAGGAAGAGCAGATGCTGCAGGCCCATTAGGAACCCTGCTCATGAAGCCAGGGTGTCGCTCGTTGAAAATTAGGTCACTGTCCCCACCTTCAGCTCAGGAACATCACACAAGGGTTTTGCAAGGGGAGGAGCAGGCCACAATAGCAGAGGGCTTCTGGGTGACTCCTTTTGAAACAGGCTGTGGTGAACTTCCACCTTAAAGGCAGTGGAGATGGACTAGCAGGCAAGAACTAAGAGGAGGCGACAGCCATTAGGGGGACAGGCTAATCTGCCAGTGAATGAGGGTAGCCACCATAGAAAAGGACAACAATTCCACAGGACACGACAGTTAAAGACACATGTGACCCTCGTGGGTTCACCCGTCTTCACTGCAGCTTCAGTCACGGCAGCCAGAAGTACCAGCTGGTGCCTGGATTGATGGGAAAGGCACATGTACACACAGTGGCTTATTATTCACCCTAAGAATAAGGAAAATTCCAGCTCACACTGCAAGATGGGCTAACCTTGGAGACATTACATAAGCAAAACAAGCCAGATGTTAAAGGCCAATGAATGATGATGTCATTCATAAGTGGCACCTGGAGTGGCCAAACTCACTTTTGGGTGGGACAATTGGTGAGGGCTGGGATGGTGGAAACATTAGTTACTGTGTTGAGGGTTTAGAATTTCGGACTGAAAAGTTCTGGAGAGGGGCCGTGGAGACGACAGCCAGCAATGTGACTCGCCTAATTGCTGAGTCCTCACACGTGGCTCCAGGTACGTAAACCTGACTCAGGGCGGCAAGGGAATGAAGAAAAGACAAACACACAGATACACAAAGACAGTGGTCTGAGTCTTCAGAAGGCGAAATCTCAGCATCCCCTCACCTATGCAGGCATTTTATCCTACAGAGTTGAAGTGGGGATGGAGGCCAGGGTTACTCCACACGGCTGAACCAAGGACGCAGGGATTCTGGTAGACAGGGAAACCAAGCAAGCAAGTTTAACTAACGATAGTAGGAACAGTCTCTGGAGAGGCTCAGTCTTCAAGGCTGTAAATATCCATGGAGAGAGGAAAGGGAAGCTATGATGGGCACTTTACACACACACACACACACACACACTACTTATTTTAGCACTCAGACCCGTAGGAAAGGCTTTATCATTTCCCTGAGCATATCATGGGAAAGGTTCTGTTGTTTTCCTAGAGGTTTGAGACTTTGGAGTTCTTGCCATGGCTGTTGCCCATGTCAACAGCAAACATTAACTCAGGACTTCAGCCACTCAGGGCTTCCTCCAGTCCCCACACCCAATGTCATTGGCCTCTACTCTATTGATATGACAAATGTGTTTTAAAAAAATCAAGGTATCTTGCTTGGGTTTAGTCCAGGTTATCTTGCCTGTGAGTCTGTCTGTCTATCTCCATAGTTTGCTAGGTATTATGTGACAGCCAGGTCAGTACTTTCAGCTCTGGGTTAACGTTTCTTTATTATAATCTTAATAAACCTAAACCAACACTTCTCAGTAAAATGTCTTGAGACACTTAAACCTTTGAAATTAAATCCCAGCCACTTCCAGGGAGCCCCCACCCCGGTTTCCTTTCTTACTCCTTATATTCAGCCACACTTCCTTCCTTTTGTCCTCTCCTGTCTTTGCTTACATAAATGCCTATGTCAAACGCCTTCCCTTACAGGCAAACCTCCTCCTTACCCTGGAGGACAAGCCCACCTTTTCTTAGCCTGTCCAGATCATCTGAAGTAGCTACTACCTGCCCCATTGCCACAGCCCTTGTTTGTCATAAGCTCTTCTTTCCGTACTTGAGAGCTGGTTGGTGACTGCTCAGCTATGCTGAGTTCCTGGAGGACCAGACCCATGTTCATATCTCTACAATGTTAAGTACCCAATAACTAATGCTTGTTAAATGGCATTACCACTTCAATAAAGGGACAAATCCTTCTTCTTGATTGCTGCAGAGACCACATGCAAAAATGACAATGGATTGTGGGTCATGAAAAGACCATGAAAACACCACCACAAAATCAGCCAGTGAATGGTCACCAAAAGATAGGCTTCCAGGATGTGTATGTCCTAGAAAAAACACCCATGAACTCACTGGAAGACCTACTATCCAAACAGAAGCAGAGAAGGTTGGAGAGTTCAAGGCCAGTTTGGACTGTTAAGAGACCCCTGCCTCAAGATGTGTCTTGCTCCCCACAAAAAATCACACACACACACACACACACAGAGAGAGAGAGAGAGAGAGAGAGAGAGAGAGAGAGAGAGAGAGAGAGAGAGAAGCTGGGAAGTGCAAACCAAACAAATCAAAACTGGACTTCACCAATACTAACTCCCAGTGGGTTAAAGAGAACAAGCATGGAACTCACACTAAAAAAGCGGCAGGAGCCAAATCAGAAGAATGTGTTTATAAGTCCTAAATACAATGAAAGGGAGGAGGAACAGGTCTCACTGTGTGAAACTAACAAACCTCAATTACCAAAAGACTCAACAAAGAGAGCCTGGGAGATTTCCCCAGATGCAGCGAAAGGATTAGTATTTATAATATATAAAGAAAACCTACAAATCAGCACAACAAAAGAAAGACAAGAATAAAATAGTCTTAATGGTTCACAGGAGAAAACTCAAGGGAGCCATAAACACATGAACTTCATTAGGGAAGTGAAAAATTCAAGCCACAAAGAAAGAATATTATCTACCAGAACTAAAAAAGTAAAAAAGAAAAGAAAAGAAAGAAAAAAAACAGTAGCTGTCAGCAAAGCTGTAGAGCAAGAACTGTGACACACTCACTAGCACAGGCCAAATTAGTGTAAGGACTTGGAAACGCCCTAACACTGTGATTGATTCTATGAATCAATCAGCCGAATGACACCCATCGCTTCTAGGCTTTTTGGCTAAGATCAAACATGGCTCAAAAGCAACTACCTAGGTAAGTTGGCCAGGGGTGTGCTTCATGTATCCAAGGACAGACATCTAGCCACATCGTTTTTAAGATTAAAATATTGGGCCAGTTTGGCTCATGTTTGTAATCCCAGCACTTGAGAGGCTGAGGCAGGAGGATTACCACAAGCTCAATACTAGCCTAGGGAACATCACAGCAGTAAGAAGCAATAAAGAAGAGCTACAGGTACTAACACGTGTGAGTCTAAGCCAAACTGCTGAGGGAAGAACTGTAAAACAATATGTGATTCTACTTACAGAAAGGCCCATCCAGGCCCAAAGGAACAGTCTACTATTAGTGATGTGTAGGGCATCCAATGACTCAGAGAAAAACAAGGATGTGGTTGCCCCGTGGGGAGGGAGGGAGCATTCAGGAGTCTCCATGCTGCTGGTGACATTTTATTAGTTTTTCAAATGAATACATCTTTGTATGTGAGCACGCACGTGCGTATGCATGTGCCTGTGCGTGTTCGTATGTGTGTGTGTGTGTGTGTGTGTGTGTGTGTGTGTGCAGGTACGCTTACATCTGTGGTGGCAGAGGACAACCTCAGGTGTCATTCCTAGGAAGATGGTCTGTCCACTTTCTTTTAAATAAAGTCTCTTACTGGCCTGAAGCATACAGGTTAGGTAATCTGGATTTCCAGGCACTGGGGCAAAGTGTGCCCCACTATGTTTGTCATTTTTATGTGTTCTGGGGATCGAACGTGGGTCCTAGAGCTGGCAATATTTGTTCTGTTTTTTGTAATAGGAGCTCTCAGAGTAGCCCAGGCTGGCCTAGAATGCATGATCCTCCTGCCTCAACATCTTTTTTTTTTTTCTTTTAAATAGTGCTGGAAATGGAACCCAGGGCCTTTCTCCCACTAAGTCACAGGCAAGGTCCTTAACTTTCTGATAATGTTAAGTAAACATCAAAATATTGAACAAGTCCATCTTGCATCTTCCTTCCAAAGGTTTGTTTCTAAGACAATTTTTTTAAACTCATGGTAACAATGCTGAATGTCCACCTAGCCCCACACTACAGTGTGTGCAACAGAGCTTAAACTAGCCACGACTTGAAACCTCCTCTACCTTCATCTTAGAAGTGGAAGTCAAGGCCCCACCTCGTTCTGAAGCCTGGTCAAGGAGCCAAACACGCTAATTAACAAGCGTGATCTGGATTCAGCTTCCGCGAACCTCACCATCCCTCACTCTCCCCTTTTAGTAAGACAATTTAAACGTTGAATGCTTTTAAAAAAAAAAAGTTTTGATAAACTTAAGCCTATATCAGGCTTGAAGACAAGCGTTTCACTGTGTGTGTAACGCTTGGGACCCGGTGGCCAGTGGGAACAAGCCCCTACGCTATGAAGCCAGAATTCAACCAGCTACCTGCAACACACCTCAGAGAGCGCCACAGGTCTACTCCGCCCACCCTCAGGCCCCGCCCACCCTTGGTCAACTCGAGACCGCCCGCCCACTAAGCTCCACCCAGACCCCTATCGGCTTGGCCCCGCCCACTGAGCGTGCTCAGGCCCTGCCAGACCCTCCCACCGGGCGTCAACCAGGGAACTCCGCCTTCGCCCCGCCCTCTGGGCTTGTGCACAGACCCCCCTTGATCTGCTCACGGAACTTGCCGATCTCCTTCGCCCACGCTCCTCTAGCCCTCCCACCATGTCCAATCGTCTACTTCCACTTCGCTCCTCCCACCAGGAATTGCCTAGCCACTACCCATCAGGCCCGCCCCATAGCTCTGCTCCCGCCGGCCCCGCCTACCCTCGTGCTAAGTGGACAGTAGCTCTTGCTGAAGATCATCACCCGGTTGGCCTCGATGAGGTCCTTCAGGCGGCGCCGCACCTCCTCGCGGGCATCGGAGCCCTGGCGGTTAGTCCCTGGGGACGACACGCGGACGCGGCGGCCGGGTGGCGACGACATTGGCCCGCCGCGGACCGTGCCCAGGCGACGGTTAGGGACGACTGCCGCCTTCCCCAGCACGGGCGACTTCTGCGCCCGCGGAGGAGGCGGCGGGGACGGTGGGTGCTCCAGGACTTCGTTGTCGCTCCCGGCCAGGCCGGGCCTGCTCAGGAACCGGGACGCGGGCGGCTGCTTAGGGGACGATGCCGGCAACGCCACTGAGAACTTGAGAACGCTGTGCACCGGACAGCTGCGAGCCACGCTCCCCGCCCTCGCGACCGCACCCACGGAGAGGGCCGGCTTATTGTCTGGCCACGCCCCCGGGGCAGTTTCGCCCCACCTCCAAGGCCTTCACAGGGCTAAGCTACGCCCCCTAAGCACAGCCCAGAATTAGGTGAGCTAGGCGACCTACTGCTCAGGAGCACAGCCGAGTAGCAGCAGTCACTTGCCCTTTTCAAAGGTGCGGTGTCCAGCTTGTATGCTCTACTATTCTTGAAATTACTATTTTCATTATTATTTTACTACAGCTTCTGCCGCCCAGAGGTCTCTCTGGAGTACCTTCCTCTCCCTATTCTCCACCAGTCTCAAGATAGGTGCTTTTCAGGAAGGATGGATGTCTATGTTTTATTTTGGGAATCATGAATAAAATCGTATCTAGGAAATACAGATTTTTTTTAAGTTTACATTGCCAAACGGAATAAAACATCACTTTCCCATTGCAGTTTATTTTTAATAAGAGGTTCCTAGGTCACTACCACCCCCGGATCCCCATGCCCACTCCCTGTGACACAGTGTGCTGGTTAGTTTTTGTCAACTTGGCACAAACTAGGATTACCTGCAAAGGCAGAAACTCAATTGAGAAAACACTCCTTCAGATTAGTCTGTGGGCAAGACTGTGAAACATTTTAATGATTAAGGTGGCAGCACCCAGCCCACGGTAGAGGGGCACCACCTTTGGGCAGGTGGTTCTGCGCTGTAAGAAAGTAGGTTGAGCAAAGACAAAGACATCAAGAGCAAACCAGTAAGCAGCATTCCTCCGTTGTTCAGCTTCTGCTCCTCCTTGAGTTTTCCAGCTTTCGCCAGTGATGGAGTGTGACTGGGGACTGGAACCCAAATCAACCCTTTCCTCCACTAAGTTGGTTTTGGTCACTGTTTTATCACAGCAACAGAAAGTAATACGTATTATTCTGGAGCCACCCCCAACAAATGAACCCCTACACCGCCCTTGTCCAGACAAATCCTGTGGGTGATATTTGGAAAGAAGGCCAGAAGGCTAACTGGCTTGCTTCAGTCAAATAAGAACACAGTGCAAAGATCTTATCAACTGAGCCCTCTCCCATACTGTAAGCATCCCTTCTGAAGTCCATCTTCCTGTAAATGTAAATAAGCAAGCACATTAACTTTAATTACTGGCCATTGTTAATCAGACAGTTAGCTAGACTACCCTTAGCATCTGTAGTCTGGAATACTCACTCCACAGAGGACTTGAGAAAACTGCACAGCAAACAGAGCTACTTGCCCCATCTGAAGGTGCAGGCTCAACCAGGCCTGTGGCAAGCACTTGTACCAGCCTTGCTGGCACCAGCCTCTGAATCCTGGAAGACCCTTTCAAAGCTCAAAAATTTTCACCTGAAGCCCCTTTTAACTGGGACAATTTCACACGATCACAAATGTGTATGCACATTAAACAGATACACAAATCAAATATTTACTGGTAATGTCACAATAAATTTTATTTTTTTGATATCCATACAATTTCTCCATTTATTAAAGATGAAAGCAAATTTGCATTCTAATGAGATGGATGGGCTTGTTTAGTTTTATATAAAACAAATCTTGGCTGAAAAATTGATACCGAAGAAGGTAGAACATAGTCAGTGTTTTTCATAATTGATCAATATTTTAATTTTATAATTGTCAATGCTAAGAATATTGCTTTGCATAAATACAAAGAATGTTTAGAGCTCTCTCAGAAATGGTTGGAAATCCTAATCCCAAGCCAACATTCGTTTAACAATTTTTTATGAAACTCAAGTATGCTGCTCAAATAGCAATTTTTGAAATCATACATTCAAACATAATACAAATCTAAATATATACTAATTTGTTCCTCACATGCTGAGGAATGCTTGAAGGAAAATATTAAAAGTCTTTGTTTTTTTAATTAAATAATTAGTTTTTATAGCAGCAGAAAAATTTATTGTAGATTTAAAAACACTGCAATTCACAACATTCCATAGTCCTATTCCGAGGCAGTGTTTCTGGCACTGTTGGTGGGCCATGTGTAGGTTTGATGTGATGCACAGGGCAGCATACATGTGTGTGTTGTGTGTTCAGAACCAAGGCTGCCCCACTGAAGTCAGGTAATATGACCCTGGCAAGCCCTGCCTAGCAGAATCACCTTGGATCATTATATTTCAGTTTTAAATTAGTTGTTGGGCTTTCAGAAAACTTTTACTAATATTTGGAGTGTGTGTGTGTGTGTATGTGTGTGTGTATGTACGTACGTGTGCACAAACGTGTGTGTAGAGTGCATGTATGTGCACCACATGCATATAAAAGCCCACAGAGGTCAGAAGTGGTGTCAGATCCCCTGGAACTAGAGTTGCAGTTAGGTGGCATGCTGGTACCCAAAGCCAGGTCCTCTGCAAAAACAGTAAGTGCTCTTACATGCTGAGCCCCCTTCTTTCCAGTCCCCTTCAGAAACCTTTTACTTTGTCAATTTTTTCAAAACCCCACACTTTTTATTCAGCCCCATTTGGGGTCACGACCCACAGCTTAAGAACCTGGTATCTGTTTGGTTTGAATTTGTTGCGGGCCTTGTGTGTTCTGTATGTCTCTGAGTTCATGTATGTATCAGTGTTGTTGTACCTGGAAGATGCTGTTTCCTTGGAGTCATCCATCTGTGGCTTTTACAAGCTTTCTGCCTTCTCTTCTGCATAGAGCCCTGAAAGGAAGGGTTTGATGCTGACATCCCATTCAGAACTCACTCTCTGCACATCCTCCAGTCGTGGACCGCTTGTTCTTTACCATCTACTTCAAGAAGAAGCTTCTCTGCTGAGGATCGAGAGATGCACTGATCTATGTGTACAGTCGTAACCATGTCATCAGGAGTCACTTTATTGCTATGTTCCTTTAGCAGAATAGTAGTAGTAGGTTTTCTCCTCAGGCCCATGATCTACGTGGTCTCAGGTTCTTGGACCCTTCGGCAGTATCAGATATGGGTTCCATCTCACGGAGTGGGCCAAGGGACTGTGGTTAAGTGGCAAGGCTATGGCTGGTACACACACAAACCAATGGCTGTGATTGATCCAAATGCCCCTTCTTGCATGATATAAGCAGGCTGCTCAGGCTCACTTGGTGAGCTGCCTGGGGGATGCTTTCCTGTGCTGCCTCCCCTGGTATTGCAGAACCAGGCTCCCCCAGAGTGGCCTTTCTTTGCCCATTTGGTAGTTTGGACTGAGAGGTGACATGTAGAAAAAAGCAGCAGGTGGCACAGCAGAAGGGGCTATGACAGCAAGGGTTGAGTGGTCTGCAGACTGATCTAGGATGGGGCTAGGGAAGCTAGAGGGCAGCTGGGAGGAGCCTAGGGAGGTGAGAGGGCAGCTGGGAAGGGGGCTAAGGAAGCAGCTGGGAGGGGCTAGGGAAGCCAGAGGGTGGTTGCATTCATTACTTTCCTTTTCACTGGGACAAAAAGCCTAACAGCAATTTAGGGAAGAAGACTTTATTTTAGCGCACAGGCTCAAAGCAGGAGAGGTAGGTGGCTTTTACCACGCGGCTTGCTCACATCTAGGTCAACCAGGACACAGAGAGACTCCAGATGGAACTCAGGTCAGCTTATAGCCACAAGCTCTAGCCCCCCACAACCATGTGTCAGCCAGCTATGCAACATGTCTCTAGACTATGCCAAGAGCTGGGGACCAGATGTTCAAATACACAAGCCTCTGGGGACATTTCACATCCAAACCACGACAGTGAGGGAAGTAGAGAGGCAACAAAAGAAGGCAGATTGCTGAGACTGAAGGATAGAAGGCAGCCAGACCATAACCTTCAGCCCTAATCACCCACAGGGCTCCTAACTGAGCTAGAACAGTGGCCAGTGTTAAAGATCAGAGAGGCTCAACTGCCCTCCAGACCATCACCAAAGCTGTAACAGAGGCCTCTGCCAAAGGCTGAGGAATCCTGGCACCAGCATCCCAGGCCATACAAGCTCTGGGTGCTTGTAATGCTAAGGGTCCCTGTTTGGTGGCCTGCAGGAGGAATGGAACACCAAGGGCTCCACCTATTGCCGCTCCCACTGCCTAACCATGTTCTGCAACACTGCATAGAGAGAGCTTCTCCTTACCTATTTATGCTGTCTGTCTGGAGAGAATGTTAGACACCCAGGTAGTTGATGGTAATGCTCCAATTACTGTCTTGGGTTGTTTTGTTTGGTTTGGTTGTTGTTCTTGGTTTTGAGATGAGCTCTTACCCAGCCGTCATGGTAAATATTCGCTGTCAGCTTAACTACATCTGAGATCAACTACCACCCAAGCTGCTGGGCACTCTGTGAGGGATTTTCGTCAGAGTATTTGAAGAAGAAGATCCACTCTAAATCTGGGCCACACCTTCCAGTGGCAGCCCAGATGAAAGAACACAGAAGAAGGACTGCTTGCTTTTTACCTGCTTGCCCTCACGCTGGCAGGTGAGCCCATCTGTCCTGCTGCTGAGGCATTCCTTTGCCGCTTTTAGAACTCACTTCTTTGAAATTCACAGGTAGACTAAAGATAACCACCTCTCTAGGAATCTTCTAGGACGCCACACCAGATTGGGACCACTGAGACATCCAGCATCATGGGCTGAACAAGTAACGGATTATTGGCCTTTGTGTCAGGAGACCGCCACTGTTTACAGCTACTCAGACCAAAGCCAGATAGCCACTTCAATGCATCCCCATCCAATATATCACTAATCTGTCTGACTATCTTCATTCTGGAAGTTCTGTTCCTTCAGAGAATCGTGACTAATACAGCAGCCTAGGCTGGACTTGAAATTACTAGGTAGCCAAAAATGAGCTTGACTGCCAGATCCTCCTGTCTCCACCTCCCAAGCGCTGGACTACATCCGTGCTCCACCATGTTGGCTCAGTGGTTACTCTTCACTGTCTGCCCCAGCCCCTTTACCATATGAGCTCCATGAGGGAGGGGCTTCATCACCTTTGAGCTCCCAGCTCTAGCCCTAGAGTCTAGCACAGTGCCTGGCTCATAGGGGAGGGGGAGCTGT